GCTTGAATTCCAAGCGATCATGCCCTCTTTGAAGGAAGTCTCCGGAAGGCAGCTTTTCATATTCACTGAGCCCTGTAGGTAAAGGTTGAGCAGATTAGCTTTAAGGGGCTGTGTTTGAAAGATACTTCTGAAGAATCAGAGCTGAGGCAATGTCTTCTCCACCACTGTGGCTCTCATCATTTAACTTGGCAAAACTTAGCCTCCCCAGTGATAAGAAAACCCTTATGGATTCATTCACATTCGTACACCATACTGACACACACCCCCGCCTTGAAATTAAAATGTGTGCAACAGCGTTGGCTGCAGATTGAACGATGATGTCATCAATTCTCTCTCCCAGTGGCCAGATAGCTGTTTGTTTGTTTTTTCCTTTAGAGTGACATCTGAATTAAACTATAAACCACTCAGGTGAAATCTTTTTAAGAAGCACTTATTAACTTAAGCTCGCAGCTTGGCGGCATACGTGGGAAATGGGAAATAAGTAAAATAGTTCTCAGGATCTCAGAAAGTGGATGAACTGATAGCTTCAGGTATCCACAAAAGAGCTGTTTCTCCCTTCACTTCATTTTGTGCCATGTATTTCTTGCCATAATTATAGGAAGGGCTTTGATTTTTTTTTTATGATAACAATCACTTGTATTTTGGAGTCTTTACTTTTTGCTAGGAGTTCTACAAAGCAATTCACCCATACAGTCTAATTTAATCCTCTCTACTTGATGAAGTTAGCATCATGTTGGGTCTAGGTCGCACTGTTGAGAAGGGGCTGAGTCAGGACTTGACCCTGGGGCGTTCTGCCTTTCAAGCCCCAGGTTTTAACCAAGATATAATTCCCTCATCTTACTCTCTTTAGTTGGTGAAGTGGTAAAATGCAACCTCTGTGGAAAGAGGAAGTTTAAGATTTTCTGTTCCCCCAAATTGTAACGATTTGACACATTCTGGAATTCCTCAGCCATTAACAAATTTTGCTCAGAGTTCTGAAGGGAGGAATATGAGAAAATTGTTCCTCTTAAAATTAAACCAAGTAAAAAGTAAAATTTGGGTTTAGAAGATTTCGAGGAAAAAAAGCATCCTCATTTATTTATTAAACATGCATTGGGTGATATTTCTGACATTTTAATATGCAAAGAGCAATGAAATAACTTGGGGTAGTCAATCTAAGTGTTTTCTGTGTTCAGTGGATGTATAGGTAACAGGACAATAGATCAGGTTTTGTTAAAGCCAGTTGGGGGATTTGCAGATGCGTGTGGTGATGTGGTTTGTTGTCGAATGTAATCTGCTGCTTCCCTACAAGGGAATTATGAAAAAATGATGAAATTAAAATGTATTAAAAAGTGATTTCACACTAACAGCTCTCTGGTTGAAATAAAACACATCAAATGCACTGAGATACCTTCCCAACTGGTTCTTGGGCTAAATCTAAGCTCTTCCTTGAGCAACGCTGAGTTTCCTCTATTCCCATTGGTAGGACAGTCATCAACTCTGAGTTCTGGCCTTACATTCTGTTCCTTTCTTCACCCTCCCCCCCCCCCCCCCATCGTCCCAACCACTGTATTCCTCTGTCCACGTGGCTGCTGGATGATAAGACTTGGTTATGGTTTGGGAGCTGTGTGGGATGAAGAGAGGGAAGACGTAGCAGAAAAAAAAAACAGTGGGCTCGTTTGCTTCTTCTTAGCTAAGACAAAGGAACACATACAGTCACCACATTTCAAGTGAAAAACCTTTTAACCAAATCATTTATTTACTTTCCCCGAACTTTAATTTCCTTTGGGCTGAACAGGCCTGCCATTGAAGCTTGTTGCCTTACTCCAAGTAGGCATACCATAAGCAATTTTGAAATGGATGAATGAATGAATGAGCCCGCTACTCAGGAGCTGAAATCCTTATGGCATTGGCCTAGAAATATGAAAATTAAGAGCTAATCTGTATGAGGGAATAATTAAAAAGAAACACATAGGATTGGATGTTGGTGGTGTATCAACAGTGATTTCCTGACTTGGGGAGTTGTATGGCATTTATGTAGGAGAGTGTCCTTGCATTGATGGGACATTATGTGTATAAGCAATATATACGTATATATATATATACATATATATATATATACACACACACATATATGTGTGTATATATATATATACACATACATACATATATACACATATATGTGTATATATACACACATACATATACATACATATATATACATACATATATACACATGTGTATGTATATATATGTATGTGTGTGTATGTATATATATATATATATATATATATACGCCATTATTAAATAGAGGGGGGTGTTGTAATAGTTCGCAGTTGGAAAACCTAGATAAGGGGGATAAGGGAGGTCTTCATGATGGTCTTGCAATCTTTAAGTTTGATGTATTTCAAAATAAGCTATTGTTAAAATTACTTAAACATAAATAGGTTCAGAGTGTGTATTTTACTTCACAAGGAAGTGAAGGGTAGGTCTCTGGATTTATTCCAGGACTTATAAGAATTCTGACATATATTAGAAAGCTATTTTTATTCTCAGATTTCCACTAGCACATCATAACAAAAGTGAGTTCTGTAGCCAGGGCTCAGTAAAAAATCTTTCTCAGTTTTTCACTGGTTTATGTCCCATGACTTTCTCTTCCCCTTGTCTCTATCTCCCTTCTTCCCTTGGCCCCCTCGTACCCATGCAACTAAAATGAAAGGCCCCTGGGAATGGTGTGGTTTTTATTCCTCTTTTTCACAGGGAAACCCAGACTTTCATAGCAAGTCGTACCAGTAAATTCCAGTAAAATACTTGGTTGTATGCAGATTCACCTTTTTTTTTTTTTAGATCTACTACTCCCCAGTAAAGCCCAGATTCCATTGAAAACTAAGGATTGTGGTTCTTTTGTTTGTTTGTTTTTTTCCTCTAAAAACGCGTGTTTATTTTCCTTGCACTTAATAAAAAGCCCTCACCCAACCAACTCACCTATTTCTGCATTACAATGTGCCCTTTCTTGTTGAAATCATTATTTCCTTCTCATTGGTTGTCTTTTTAATCATATGTGAAATATCCAGGAACTCTTAGCGGTGGCAGGCCAGGGACATGATGTCAGGGAGGAAGTGCTGTCCCAAAGAGCGTGTTTGTTCATTGTAGTCATTGCTGTGTGTGGGAATTGGTTTCACGTGGTCCATATCACGTTCTCTGGAGACCAGGACTTCCCAACTCTTTTAGCCTAAGACCTTGATCTTGGATTGATGTTCAGCAGGCCCTTTACCACTTCCTTCCATGAAAAAGCTCTCTGTGCCCCACCATGGCTATTAAATCAGTTACAATCAATTCCGTTTTGAGAGTTTGTTGAAGGACTTTCTGAAAACCTTAGGATAAGTCAGTGGTTTTCAACTGGGGGTGATTTTTACCCCCTGGGGACATTGGGCAATGTCTGGGGACTGTCTCAAATGGGTTGGGGGTGCTACTTGTATCTAATAAATGGAAGCCAGGGATGTTGATAAGCATCCTACGAGGCACAGCATAGCCCCCAACAGCAAAGAATTATCTCACCCAAGATGTTGACATAGTACCAAGGTTGTGAAACCCTAAAGAGACATCTGGTGAGGAGAGGGGAGGACTCCTCAGCAAAAGTCAAACTCGAGGTCACAGATGCAAGCCCCAAGGAATGTCACTGGCTAGCTATCAGAAAACAGTTCTCTCCAGAGAGTTGAATTTTCCATTATATATTATGTGGGATTGCGGGAAGCCATCAAGGTCCGTCAAAAACTTTCAAGGATGAGCTGAAAATATGAGGCCTCAACGTTGTCTTACCAGACTGGATTTGCAAACCAATGAGTAGAGTCCCTCCTTCTTTTTTTGAAGTCGGGAGGGAGAATTGTTATAAATGTCTACAAAGGTGTCCAACGTAACGCGTAGACAATTCTGCATGGCGATTCTGGCAGGAGTGACCAACTTTGGAAACAAAGGCACACGCGAGGATGGGCATTTCTTTTTTTTTTTTTTTTCAAACGTTTATTTATTTTTGGGACAGAGAGAGACAGAGCATGAACGGGGGTGGGGCAGAGAGAGAGGGAGACACAGAATCGGAAACAGGCTCCAGGCTCTGAGCCATCAGCCCAGAGCCTGACGCGGGGCTCGAACTCACGGACCGCGAGATCGTGACCTGGCTGAAGTCGGACGCTTAACCGACTGCGCCACCCAGGCGCCCCGAGGATGGGCATTTCTAAAAAGGGCTACTCTGCCATGTTCACACCTTTGGATTGTTCTGGTAGCACTGATAGTTCATACTTATAAGTTGCTTTTAACTTCGTGTTTCCGGCATCAGTATTTCCCTCATCCACGATAGAATTTGCACATGTGTCATAGTCCGGCTGTATCTAGGAATTGGTGTGTCAGAGTTGAACGTGTTGGTTTTTCTTTTGGATACTTTTTAAAAGTAGGATTCATTCCTCGTTTGCATTTGATCAGAGAAGTAGCAGATTGTATTTCTAATTAGAGACTAAGGCAGAGGTGCAGAAAGTATTGTATGGGTTGTGAATAGGAGTGAATCAGGATACCCCCGTCTCAGCACTGTTGACGTGTGGGACCAGGTAGTTTCGTTGTTGGGGAGCTGGTCTGTGCATTGTAAGATGTCACACAGCATCCTTGTTTCTACCCACTGGATGCCAACCATCCTCTTGGTTGTAATAGCCAAAAATGTCTTCAAACGTTGCCACATCCCCTGGGCGGTGATATTGCCTCCTCCCTGCATTTCTATGGATTTCTGACAGTAAAACTTTTCTTTCCATATTCTCATGGGCATTAGGTGGGCTATGTATAGACTGCAGCATTTCCCAAATGTGTCTGATACAAAATTCCCATTTTTTTAAGTCAGAGAAGTCCTTAAAGTTATAAAATTAAAAATAAAAAGTTATAAAATTCCTTCCTCCTTTCTGGAAAGATAAATTGTTACGTTGTAGAGATCAGCAGGTTTTCACCATCAATGCCTTCAATTATTTCCCACCAGTTTTTTCTAAATCCTTAAGAGGAAGCCATACGTAGGTGATCAGCTTCTCCAGATGTGTGGCATTAAGTTGGCTTTTCAGCGCATGAACCTCTGAGGAAGAAAGTTTCTGAAGCTCTACCTCTCCTCTTCCCTTTGCCACTTTGCAAATCTTCCGTGCTCTAGCAGAAAGCAAATGCAGTGTCTCCAACCTCCACATCACCCATACGAATATACCTTCCAAAGAGCAGGCTCAACTCTGAGCATGGTGGGTCAGAGAACAGGGTCAGATGATGCCTCTCCTGGTCCTAGAATGAAAATCAATCTCAGTACTTCTCCTTCAAAAAGGTCACAAAACAGTGGCCACATAAACACTAAACACAAAACACTATTTTGACTCCAAAACTTTTAGACCGAAGAAATCTGTCAGTAGAGGAGAAGACAAGCACAACAAGCCCCAAGATACTGTTATCAACCTCAGAAGTTTTCTGGTAGGATCTAAGTCCTAATGAGATATTGGTTTTGACCCACAATGTTTAATGTATTTTTGATGGAATGCCACAGAAAATTTTATTAGAAGATCTGGACACTGGTGCCCGATGTAGAAGAGAGATCTCCATAAGACAAGTGAGTGCCACCTTCCAGAATTATCTAGAACCTTAAATTACCAATGGACTATGTAAAAATGACTTTAAAATTAGAAATTGACTTTTGCCTTTTGCCTAATTATAATCCAAATTATAAACCTAATTATATTTATATAATTTAACTGGAAGTGGAGACATAATAGCAACGACCCCCATTTACTGAGCATTTGCAGTGAGCCAAGCCCTGGGCCTGGTGCTTTTTTGTGCGTTATTACTAATTATCATAAAATCCTTGCAGAATGGACCTTATTACGTAAGAATGGATGTAATAAGGTCCATTCTGCAGGTGGGAAAACTGAGCTTCCGGAGGCAAGCAATTTTCCCAACATCATATGATCAGTAATTCTTGAAGCCCCACCTGACTGACTCCCAGGCCCCATGCTTTCCTGTTTCCTCTCTGGTAGGGCTTTCAAAATTTCTAGAACTAGTGATTTTCGATCTGTGACACACGCAAGAAACTAGCTCCTGCACAAATGGAAACCAGTGTAGCTCTCCTCTGCTTTTAAAAAAAATCCATTGAAGCTGCGTCCTTAGTTTTGGAATGTTTCCCAAGGATTTTCAGCCAGGTTCCTAGTTTTGTTTACCTTACTTACCGAAAGTGGGAGGGAGCTGAATATTTGCATTTTTAAACCGAAAAATTTTGACAGTTCACTTGGTGTTGAATGGTTTTCAAAAAAAAGGCAAAACAAAACTCCGGAATTAGGCTTGGTCACCCAGAATTCCCCAGCCAGTGCTCCAAAAGGGCCTGGCTTCCCCCTGAACATTTACGGCACCCTAGGATGATGGGAATTGATACATTTTTAAGGAAACTTCTGCTGGACTAAGAGAAGTAGGGCTTTCTGAACACAACCTGATCCTAATATTTGGGTCACAGCTACACCACTTAATCAGTCTGTGGTGGCTGGTTTATGGAAGGTGTGCAGGACGTTGGCAGTGATTGATTTCTATCCAATTCGCCCTACGGTTACGAAATCTCAGGACTCCGTGTTGCTTTGGCAGCCCTGTATATTGTATATTTTGAGGGCCTTTTCTTCAACGGAAGGGAACTTAAAAAAAAAAAAAAAGTCCGTGGGCACCGGGGTGACTCAGTTGGTTAAGCATCCAAGTCTTGATTTTGGCTCAGGTCGTGATCTCATGGTTGTGAGACGGAGCCCTGTGCCGGACTCTGCTCTGAATGTGGCGCCTGCTTAAGATTCTTTCTCAGCCCCCACCGCTTGTGCGTGCTGTCTCTCTCTAAAATTAATTAATTAATTAATTAATTACTGGGAATAGCAAGTGTGAGTTTTCGGAGGTTTTTTGGTTTTGGTTTGTTTTTTGCTTTTACATCTTTCCAGCCAGCATGGAGATAGAAAATACCCAACCTCCATAGAACCCCTTTGTGTTCATACATTTCTTCATAGGTTGCTTTCAGTCTGTATATTTACCTTTTTCCACATGGGAGAAGTATCATTCTGAGGTGACATCTTTGGGGGTGAGAAACAACATTATGTGATGCTTGGGGTACAAGACGGTCTCAAAGGCTTAGAGCTGACTTTCAACAATAGTCTTGCCCTTGCAGGGGCAGAGTAGTATTCTGAGTTCCTAGCTTCTGCCATTTGCCGTTGGTCTTGTGTTGTATTCTCACATAACCTTCCTCTTAGGTGTCCCCTGTGCAGTATTTAGTTCTTTTTTAAAAAAGTTTATTTATTTAGAGAGAGAGAGAGACAGAGCAAGTGGGGGAGAGGAGGAGAGAGAGAATCCCAAGCAGGCTCCATGCTGACAGATGTAGGACTCGATCTCATGAACCATGAGGTCATGACCTGAGCCAAAACTGAGAATCGGATGCTTACCTGACTGAGCCACCGAGGTACCCCTGTGTTGGACTGAGTAGACACAGGAGATAGGAGAGCACAATAGTTATTTATTTGGTCCTTACAATGAACTGAGCATTGTGCAGGATACTGACTTAATCCTTAAAAATTCTTGAGACATAAGTGGCCCTAGGTTCTTTGAGATGCTATTCATTCACTCATTCATGCATTCACTTGCATATTCCATAAGTATTTGAATGTTTTTTTTTATGAGCCAGGCACTTCTCTAGCTACTGGGGATATAGCAGTGAACAAAAAAGACAAAAATTCTTAGAGAAGAGGAAAGTAGCTTGGAAGGGGGGATGAGAACTGTACATTTAAGGAGTCAGGCAGGTATCCATTAAGAAGGTGAGATTTAAACAGAGGTAAGCTGTGTGGATATCAAGAAGAAGAGTATTCTGGGTTAAGACCTAGAGACAGGTGTATTTCAGGCACATCTTAGCAATAGTAAGGAGGCCACCATGGCTGGATTAGAGGTGGTGGGTGGTAGGATATGAAATTAGAGATACGATTGAGGCAGTATAACGTAGAGGTAAATCATGGGATGGGTATCGAGGGGTTAGGCTATTGGAATGATTTTTGCTTACATTCGGTGAAGTAGGAAACCATTGTGGGGAGAGGAGTTGAGTGGGAACGTGAATTTGTTTTCAAAGACAGATGCTGGCTTCTGAATTTAGAGGAAGCTCCTCAAGGAACAGAGTTCTGGAAGCAGGGAGAACATTAGGAAACCATTGCAGTAAATCACATGGGAGAAGCCCGTCAGTGAGTGGCTCAGATGTTCACAGTGGAAGCGGTGAGAATTGGTGGGATTCTGATGTGTTTTTAAAGTAGTACCTAAGGATTAGCTGAGAGTTTCGATACAGGCTATGAGAGAAAGAGAGGGGGTGGAATGAGCCCAAATATTGGGCAGAGAATAAGCAGAAGTTGGATGGAATTTCCATTGACTGAGATGGGGAGAACTCCAGGAAGGAGTGGTTTTTGGAGGCGGACAAGGGCTTATGCTTTGGACATGTTAAGACTGAGATGCTTGCTTATTCACCATCGTTTCGTGTCTCTGTTGAGCAGAACTGGAAAGAGATGCTTGCCGTGGTTAAGCATCTTGCATAATATCACAAAGGAAGAGACAGCCCTGGTCAAACCAGGTCTGAATGATTCCAAGACCAAATTCATACCTACCACCCTCTTTGACTCAACCCTTGGATGTCCGTTTGAGTACATCTCAGAGTGGTGTAGGAATAATTTAAATTCACATAGAACCATTGACCTAATGTTAGCCACTTCAAATGCTACGTCATTCACGTAATAGCCATTTATGTTTTAGCTGGTTTTTATTTCTTCTTGTCTGATCCTTTCATAATGGTGCTTTGGAGCCATTTCTTTACCAAGTGATAAGCAGGAGGAGAAGCAAGAAAAGAAACATGGATGAGGGGCGCCTGGGTGGCTCAGTCAGTTAAGCGCCCCATTTCAACTCAGGTCATGATCTCACAGTTCGTGGGTTCGAGCCCCGTGTCGGGCTCTATGCTGACAGCTCAGAGCCTGGGGCCTGCTTTGGATTCTGTGTCTCCCTCTCTCTCTGCCCCTCCCCAACTAGCACTCTGTCTCTGTCTCTCAAAAAATAAAAAATTTTTAAAAACGTTAAAAATTAAGAAAAGAAACACGAATGAATAGTGCCTTAACAGCACCTTGGTCTGATCTGAACTCCCAATAGAGCAAAGCAAAGTTGGAGGATGAGCGTCTAATTCAACAATGGTTAAGATAATCTTTTTTCCTTCCTGCTGAGATATGTTTCTCTGGATGCAGACTCAAATATGTATGCACGTTTCAGTTTTGGGGTGGCATTGGTATCCACCGGAAAGCAAACTAATTACATAAACTACTTCTCCCCCACCCCTGCCAAAACAAAAACAAAAACAGAAAAAGTTGTAAGTTTTCCAGTATAAGATGTTGGACATGTTGGCATGTAAAGATGTTCCTTTCGTGCCACGCCAACGGAGGAAGGTCCAGATACACAGAGAAAGCAAGACTGTGGAAGAGGCAATGGAATAAACTTGGTCCTGGTGTCTTTTAAATGACTGAATGGCAGATAGACTAGTTCTTTTGGAGGAGGAAGAAGTTCCTGACTGCCCTGTAGTATCATGAGTGGGTGTTCCTGAGCATTGTCATCTTCTAGAAGAATGACATCTCCAGGTAACCTCCAGTCACAGTCTGCCTGCAGAGTGCCAAGAAATTCTGGTCACTGTTCCCTCAGCTGTAGCTTTGCCAGAAATCACTCAGAGACTTCTTCACTTACCTTTGCAACAGCTGAGACCTGGCACAAATATCTCACCTCCTATCCCCTATGTTCCAGACTGCCTTCATGAATAATCCCGGGGTAAGCACAGGGCATGCGTCCTTCTGTCATCTCCACCTCTTTCCTGCAAGATTATTCTGCTGATGTCAGATTACAAATAATCATCACCTATAACCTTGAGAGGCAAAAGAAGTTGTGTAAAATTAGTCAGTGTGCTTAGAAATGGGGAGTCGGAGGGCACGTTAGGGACAACAGAGCCTGGGCATGTACTATGCCTCAGATTCCTGGGGGCACCACTGCACGTAGCCATGAGAAAATTCAGCTTTTGCAGATTTTGTTGGTGGTTATTCTTTGTCTTGATGGGGAGGAAAACTGTCATATTTACAATCTGGCCGAACAACAAGCACCTCAATTCGGGTTTCATGACTCATGTAGCTAATTTCATATGCTGTTCTGTTTAATGTGAATATTTGTTCTCCCCCCATAAGATGTTGTCACATTAAGAGGTTAGGAGGAGACAGCTGGAGAGCCCTGTGCCTCCTAATTCTTGGGGGTAACGGGAGGTGGAGGGCATGAGCCCTTCTTACTGTCTCCCCTTATTGGCTTGGCCCTCCCATCCCCCTTGTGAGCCATCTGTGGGGCCACCTACTTGGCTGTAGTATTGAGAGCAGCCTTCGAGTGTGCCCCAAGGGTTGACATGTGATCCTTAGTTCCTTTTCTCCCACGGTCTTAGACCTTTGGAGTACTGCAAAGACTGCCGGTGTTGGGGGCAACGGAGATGGAAGGATGGCCTCGTGCCCCATCCGGCTGGGATGACCGTGACTCGCGCATCTGCTTTCTTCCATGGTGTTCCCTGCCAATCTCCTGCTTTCTCGGCTCCTTTTCATGGTAATAAGTGCCATGGTGGTCCTGGACATAAACAGCCATCAGGCAGGCCTGTCAACATTGGCTTTACGCCCTGAAGTCACAGCCCTTGTTTCCTGGCAAAGCTTTCTCTCGCTCCTCAGTCACTCGGCTTCCCCGATACCCCCCGACCAGAGCCATTCATGGGTTGTGAGAAGCCCTAACTGTGCGCACACCCACCAGTTAACAAATAACTGTGACCACTGCCACGGCAGAGCCGAACAGAGCCAGGAAGTGAGTGAATGGGCGTGCAGTAATGGCGATCCCTGGTGTGGATTCTGTGTCTCTAGACATTAAAGAAATAACATAGCAAGAAACAAATGAGAAACATAAGTAGTCCCTCAGATAATAAGTATGAGCAGGAAATGGTGGAGTAGGAGAAAGATGTGGCATTCAGATGTGGGGTCCTTGTCTTCCTCGTCTTCCTGTCTTCTCTGGTCAGAGAGACCGTATTAATAATAGTCGATAAAAGTGAAAAGAGCACCGCAGAAGCAGAGGAATCTTCGACATTTATGTCTGTTCTGTGGATTGCTCTGTGACCTTTGGAAAGGAAAAATCTTCGCCCTTTTACTTGGGTGAGATGTTGCCTAAGTCCCTCCCTTACTCAGCAGTGCCTGTGTTAGAACGTTAATCTGAGACTCCATTAGTTGACGTATATATATATTTTTTAATACCTTTTTAACCACATGCTGGGGGGTATTCTAAAAGACTCTGCTGGGGTGCCTGGGTGGCGCAGTCGGTTAAGCGTCCGACTTCAGCCAGGTCACGATCTCGCGGTCCGTGAGTTCGAGCCCCGCGTCAGGCTCTGGGCTGATGGCTCGGAGCCTGGAGCCTGCTTCCGATTCTGTGTCTCCCTCTCTCTCTGCCCCTCCCCCGTTCATGCTCTGTCTCTCTCCCCAAAAAATAAATAAACGTTGAAAAAAAAATAAAAAAATAAAAGACTCTGCTGAGTAGAAATAATGGTAGTGATGAGAGTGAACGTGCATCGATTTCTACACCACTTGACCAAAGCCCCAGGAGCTCCGTCTATATGCACTATAGTCGTACATGTATACGGTTGTTCTGCTTAATTGTAACGTAACTCTGTTGAGTGTAGACTGTGCTGTTGTCCCCGTTTTACAGAGCTGAGAGAGGTTCGGTAATTTGCCCCAGATGGCCCCGAGGTGAAATGGCAGGTGGCATGCCAGCCTAGCACTGCCTGATGCCCAAATGCCCTGTGCCCTGAAATGCTGCGTTTTAGAACAAGGTGAAGACAAGTAGTGAGCTTTTGTTTCCTGTGCTGGCACTCGTGCGCCTCCATCTGTTGGAATTTGTTGTTAGCTGGTGTCCCCAAACAGGAGCTTGTTATACTCACTCTTGTTCATACTCGTGTCTGCTGTCCGTCAAAGCCAGAGGCGGGAGAATCTGTGCCTCCCTTGCTAGTCCCTGTTGGGACTATCCCTTTGGAATAGAAAGAGTCAGGATGACTGGTTAGCCGTGGCTGCTGAACAACACGAAGAACGCCCGTACTTGGCTACAAATCCCCGGGGCGACGGTGTTCTGTGCGGGGCACGGGAACTCCTAGTCCTAGGCGTGCACGTACTCCTGCCTCGCTGTGTCACTGTCAGCATGCCGTGTCTCCTTTCCTCTTGTGTTCCATTTGTGAGATAAACAGACAGACTGGATAATCTTCGAGATGCCCTTACAGCTCAGACAGTTGAGAGATTGGCCCTCGGTGAATGGACAGGCCCACATTTCCATTCATGACCGTGCAAAGAGCCATTCATCAATGAACGGAAATAATCATTCGCCCCATGACATCAGGCGGGCCCCAAAGGGCGAATAAACCCTGAAAAATGGCCAAGAGAAGATCAGGGTGTGGCTTCAGCCCAAGGGAAATCTGGCTCTTCATGTATGTGACTGTCTATTTCCACACTAAGCGTCTTTCTTCCCAGGGTCCTAAAGATGTTAGGAAAAAAGTAATAAAGTCAGACATACTAACTCTGTATAGGTACTGTCTCCCTGAGAGACTCGAGGAATCAGAGGCTTCAAAAATAGGCTCAAGAGACGTTCCATTGAGGTCCTTGCTCTGTGTTGTTGACTTGAGTGAGCAGGGGTGAGCACCTTGTTTTCCTCTCCGGTCCCTTTCTTCAGTATAGCTTAAGGAAGAAAGTGGTGATTCTGGAGAAGACCTGTTTGAAGACCAACTCTGTTGCTTCCTGGCTTTGTGTCCCTGGCTAAGTGACAGCACCTCCTTGTTTCTCTTTATCTATAAACAAGGAATCCTCAGGGGCGCCTGGGTGGCTCAGTCGGTCGAGCGTCCGACTTCGGCTCAGGTCATGATCTCGCGGTCCGTGAGTTCGAGCCCCGCGTCAGGCTCTGTGCTGACAGCTCAGGGCCTGGAGCCTGCTTCGGATTCTGTGTCTCCCTCTCTCTCTGACCCTCCCCCCGTTCATGCTCTGTCTCTCTCTGTCTCAAAAATAAGTGTTAAAAAAAAAAATTAAAAAAAAAAAAAGGAATCCTCATAGTATCTGAGTCACACGGTCGCTGTTGGGATTAATGACAGAAGCCAGTGTCCTTCAGCCCAGTTTTCCATTCACAGTTAAGAGTTCAATAAAAGGTAGCTGGTGTGATTTCCAATAGCTCTGCTCTGACCGAAAGAGGGGTCCTGGGGTGGCCTTTTTGCATCTCAATAACTTGTGCCAAATCGGTTCAGCCCTCACACTGTGGGTCAGATTCCGAGTGGTTCTTTCTTTGTGACATTTAGGCAAACATGACGTTTCGTTTAGAGCACACTTCTGTGATGCCTACAGATTTCACGTGTCCGTTCGTTCCCGCAATTATTTGCTGGCTGCCTACGGCGTGGAAGGCCGTCTATAAGCACATGTGAGTGATGGCTGCTTTCTTTTTCCTCGGTGGCAAGCCCACGTGGTGTTCCAGGCCCCACACTGAGCTGTGTTTGAAACTCTGATCCCTAAGTCCAGATCCTTGTGCTCACATCCTGGCTTCCCCGGAAACGGCGTGCGCAGGCTGGTTTTGCCTTCCTCACTGGGGGCATGCTCCTGTATATGCCCTTCATTCCTCCCCGTAACTGGCAAAGGCAGATACGAACCTCGGGTGTGAGCCTCACGTCCTTTCTGACGGTACGTTCTGCAGGTGAGGCTTGACTTTGTGTTTTGTTCAACCAAGTCCAAAGGAGACTAGAATCAGAAAGAACCTGCTGTCCGTGAAAGACACAAAGGAACATTTTTTTCAATGAAGGGATTTGGATGTTACTTTCACATTTTAGGGACGCACAAGGGAAAGGCACATCATGATTAGTTCAGGGTCCTGCCCCCAAACTGAGCTCTGTTCGTCGGTCTCAGAGGGATGGTTCGCTCCCTGATTGGCAAAACTCCTTCCATCAGGAGAAGCGTGACTTCACTTGGTCATGGCTTGCAGTCTCTGTCCTTCCTCTCGGCCTCCGAGCTCTTCCTTACCTGCTGGCAGCCAGTCCCGTGGTTGGAAATATGGGCTAGTTGATCAGTATCCTCCATCACACATTACACATAAACAGAATGTTTCCGTTTATGTGACTGTGTATTTGCAGCATAAGTGTCTTTCTTCCCAGGGTCCTAAAGGTGTTATGAAGAAAGTAATAAACATGTTTCTCGTGTTTGCTAGATCCCTTGGAGGTGGAAATCACCTAGATATACAGAGCAGTGCCAGAATTCTGCCAGCTGTTCTCCTAGACCATCCATTAACCCCTGTGTAGTGAGCATCTGCTATAACCAGGCGGTCCAGGTCTATACCTCGGCCCCGCTGGTGCTTCCTCTAAGCCCCGGCATCTCCCAGCCCCATCGAGAAGCTTCCATCTGGCCAGATTCTCTGACCTCCAGCCTCCACTTCTTATTCCTTCTTAGTTCCTTACGGTGGCCTTACCAATTCCGCGCTCTCCTCTGTCTTTGCACACATGTTCAGGTTCACGGCTGCCTTGGCAACGCAGGAATCTCCCTCTCTCTAGGTCCTCAGCCCTTCTCATCCTGGCAGACACACTGGGGTTGTTTGCTGGCTCCTTGATGTCTGAGAGACCACACACGTCTACAAAAGTGAAAGGGCAGAAGCAGGGCATCGCGAATGCCAGCGGTAGCACGCCGGACCCTAACCGGCACCATAACCAGGGCTACCACTGAGAGAGGACAAGCCCAGAGGAGAGATGATGAGCAGACTGCCCATGCCTTGAGTACATTGTTTCCAGCCAGATGAGTTGAAATGCAAGGATGTCAAACTCTTAAGACGTTAGGCGAGTAGACCGTGTTAAGGCAAGAGCTGAACAAAGCTTCACGTTAAACATCCCCTTTGAATGGCCTCACAGAAACAAAAGCCTCAAAGCCCAGGCATTTTGGATACTGACCTTGATGTTTCTTTCTTTTTTTTTTTTTTTTTTAATTTTTTAAATGTTTTGATTTGTTTTTGAGAGAAAGAGAGACAGACTGTGAGCAGGGAGGGGCAGAGAGAGAGGGAGACACAAAATCTGAAGTAGGTTCCAGGCTCCAAGCTGTCAGCACAGAGCCCCACAAGGGGCTCGAACTCACGAAATGCGAGATCATGACCTGAGCCGAAGTCACTCAATTGACTGAGCCACCCAGGCACACCTGACCTTGACGTTTCTAAGTCACAAGGAGAGACTATACCATTGTTTGGGAGTGTTGTGCAAGGCTGGGGAGAAAGCATGCTCGTAAACATGTTCGGTGGTTTCTCCAGAGGAGCAAATGTGGGACTCCAACTGGCAATTTAGGAGGCTATATCCACTGCCCATTTAAGGACTTAAACATTCCCCAGAGCAAGAACCCTGAGACATGTAGCCAACAGATAGCACATAGTAGGTGATGCACTGAAGTTTACTGTTAAATCTCAGTGGTGCACATTGACTCAAAAGTCAGTGTCTGGAAAAGGCCTGGAAATGATCAGATGGAAATTTCCCTCAGAGTAGAAGAGCTGAAACGTTTGTTTATTTGATTATCAAAATGACAGCTTCTTTAGAGAAATCATAATAGACCCACTCATGAACCTGTTAGATATGAAAATTTCCATAAGCAGCTTCTTTTCTTCACTGGTAAGTTAGAAAGCATGAGATGAAAAGTGTTTTGTTTTGTTTTTTTTTTTCTGATTAGTTACCTCGAGAATGTCCTTATCACTTTTAGATCTTCATTTTAGGCAAATAATATGTGAGTCATGCTGAACTATTACATTCTTTTTTTCCAAGTCGGTTCCATTCAAATCCCCAGATAAGAAAAACGCACGTAGGAATGGGTGGGATGTAGCTAATCTGGATGTTAACAGGATGTTTAAGGCATCGTATTTGGGAACTCCTTTGTTCCCTTTCATTTGAAGGGCAATAGGCATGGGTCACACCAGTAGTGCCCCTCAGATGAATTAGTATCAGTGATGTTCGTGATAATGTAACTGTTTCCCTTGTGTTGGCATTGCCCTCAACAGACGTCTGTCCATCTGTGTTGCAATCATGTGGGGAGAGGTATCTAGAAAGCTTTGTGGTTACTTACACCAGGTTGGAAACACTAGTTATCTCCAATAACAGTACCTATCTCAATGGTTGTTAGGATGATTGAGACATTGCACGCTCGGTCTTAGAGCAGTGGGTGGCACATAACTGAATGCCAGAATATGCCAGAATATTGTGCCTTTTCTCATTCTGCCTCTGTAGGTTGCTGTCTACTTTTAGACTGTCCCTCCGATGCCAGGCAGATTACTGAATTAGCATTTTCATCAACTCTCCCCCCCCCCCCCCCCCGCTTCATAGTAAAGGACAGCTTGCTATCAATGATTTGTATGTTGAAATGATTATCCCTATAGGTGGATTTGGTTTAAGTTCATCCATGTTCATCACCATTATGCCTCTTTCTTCATTACGCACATTTTCCCACTCAGGAATCTGTATCTTTCAAGTTCAGTCTTTTTCCTACAGATAAATACATCCTTGACGCCCGGGGCTGTTTTCCCATGCCTGTAAACGTCATCACTGTCCGGTTGCCCATACTGCAAACCTAGGAGTCCCTCCTGAGTCTGCCTTCTGCCCTGCACCCCATGGCTGATCCACCACAAACTGTCATTTCTACCTTAAAAAAAATAGGTCATGAGTCCACCAACTTCCCCCACCCCAATACGTCTGCACCCTATTTAGTATCACCATCACCTCTTGCCTGGACCAGTGCACTAACTCTTCCTGAGCAGTTTTACTATTTCCCTTCATGCTGTATGCCCATCCATTGTCCTCTCAGTAGCCAGGGTAGAATTTCTGAAGCAAAAATCAGACCGTGTTTTGCCCTGACTTAAAACTCTTCTGTGATTTTTCCAAATCCAAATGCATTATGACGACCTATGAGCTCTGCACGGTCTGGCCCTGGGGGAAGCCTCAGGAGCCCTCTTGCACCCATGGCAGCCTGTGTCCTTCAGAGCACTCATTTCTGTTAATAAGCATGCATTTGTTTTTTGTCAACATTGCAGTGTTTTGATTAACACTGGCCTGTAAGCTCCGTGCGGGCGGGGAGTAGTCAACTTCGTTCATCACTATATTTCCAGCCCTTCGCATAATTTTTGAAACTTAGTAGTTGCTCACATGTTTGTTGAATAAACACAGAGGAACTCATCCCAAATTCCACTTGTGCCCCTTTGTTATTTATTCGTCCAAGGAAAGTTTCTAAGGACCAAAATTAGTCACTAACAATAGAGATTATTCCGTATGCAAGTCATTAGACCGGTGGTTTGTAGGAATATTTCTAGGAGCTTCATTTTAAAAACCTTCTAGAATTATGTCCCAAGTCTTTATATATGTCAAAGCACCATAGGTTGAAAGATGGGTATTTTTGTTTTGATCTGAATATTCAAATTGGGCTCCTTTCTTCCTCACTGTATGCTCTGTTAAGATTTCCAGAATGACCTCTCCAAATCATAATACTGTCATAAGATGAAGCCCAAACAAAACCAGCAATGTTTCCCTTTCCTAAAGTAAAAAGTCAGGGCCAAACCTATTAATATACGTATTTCAAAATAATCTATTCGCTACTATTGAAATCTTTACAATGATTTGTGTTTACTAGAGAAAGAGGTCTGGCACATTTATGAATGATATAACTTTGGACATGCTTGGTAACAGCGGTTGAATTAATACTAGGCTACGTGTTTCACGTGATGCTATTTATCTATTAGGCATGAAAGGGCACTTTGGTAATTTAAGTTAACAGAATCACAAAGTTAGTGAGGGCAATAAGAACTATTGAATAGGGGGCGATGACACGAAATCTATTCCCATTGCAGTTTCACATTTTGTTCTTCATTCTTAAACTCATTTCCCTCTAAAAGTCAAGAACGTTATATTGGGAAGTAATGTGTCTTGAAAATCTGAGCCAGCAAGCTTATGATCCAAGTGGTAATGACTTCTGTAATCGCTAATGAGGCAATGGACGTTGAATATCTCAGGGCGCTCATTGGGGCCAGCCTCTTGCCTGTTCCACAAGAAGCTGTCATATCAAATTTTTGTCCTGACTCCATGGGCGCTTTGATTCCTAGACCTTTCTGAGAAACCTAATCTGAAATCAAAGTCAAGCTCCTTAGATGTGGTCAGACAAGGTCACATTTCAAACAGTTCAGTGAACTTGCAGATCAGAGTTGAAAGGTAATGCCCCCCTCCCAGAATTGGCACAGACTTACCTGCCAGCTTACCTTTCGGTTTCTAATGTGGCTTTTTCACCTCCTTCCCAACGGACTGGGAAAATGAGAGTTTATCCTCTGAAAAATGGTAGGAGAGTTTCCTTAAATCGTTTCATTAGGAAATTGGACACAGTTGTATTTGGGAAATGCACGTTTATCCAAATCAGTGAATCGCAAGGCATTTGGTTGAAGAAGTATCCTGATCCTGCATAAAGTGAGTTGTGCGCGAGGCATCCTTTCTAATTCATAGGAAGAGTTGTTACAAACTCAGGATGTCACGGTAATTTCAGGTTCATTGGCTTTATGTTTTGGCCAAAATTGTCAGGATTCACCCGCACTCTTGAAGAACCCAAAATGCTAGGCAGGATTGCTGCCGAAATACTACGGACATTTTTTTTTTTCCCCGAATGCTATCTTCTTGCCGTGTAGAGCGTTGAGATATTACCTTAAATGGTGTTGGAAAAGGGGGGAGATGGTGACTCTTGTCAGGTATGATCTTAACATCTCACGACACGGGTTTTTATCAAACTCCATGTGATTTAAAAAAAAAAAAAAAAACACAACAACAACCTTGCCATTGCTTTATATTTCAGTGTTCTGTCTCTTGTGGTCGAGGGCATAAACAACGAAATGTTTACTGCATGGCAAAAGATGGAAACCATTTAGAGAGTGATTACTGTAAACACCTTGCTAAGCCAAGTGGGCACAGAAAGTGCAGAGGAGGAAGATGCCCCAAATGGAAAGCTGGCGCCTGGAGTCAGGTGAGCAATGCTTCTCCTCTACGACTGCTTCCTTACCTTGGGCCACGTGGCTGACACCGGCGTGTTGGTTGTGTTTGTCTGCACAGGTTTGGTTTTTCAGAGGGGAGCTTGGGGACGGGGAGGGACGACTCTTTCCGTCAGGATAGTTGTTACCTGGCCGAGTGGATTCCACCCTCGGGGCCTTGGGTAACACCTACAGTAGGATGGTTGTGAGAATTAATTCTAAGTAGTAGTAGATATTGATGTCAGACATCTAGCACGGAGTAGCCCTTTAATACTTCGCTGATGGCATTTTTATCATCACTCACCACTTAAAAAAACACTAACTCAGATGGCAGTAAGGTTGACTCTGGTCACCTCGCAGGGACTGGGTCTGAATTTACCTTTGAGGTTCTTAAAGAAAGGGCTGTCAGTGTGAGGTATTATAGCGAATGTTCTTAGATACAGCAGAAGTGGGAGACAGAAGTTCTCTCTCATTTGCTAGCTATGTGACCTTGGGTGATCTGTTTTCACCTTCCTGAGCCTACTACATTTAGCTCTTATGAGGATTTAATGCAATAATGAATGCCAAATACTTAGTTCAGAGGTCTTAAATCTAAGAGGCTCTCAAGAGTAGTATTTTGTGTGGATGAATGTGATGCGTGCATCAGATGGGGAAGGGGTAAGCACCCAAGAAACTGATTGCAGTCAGACTCCGCTAATTCTAAACATTTGATAATCTAGCCAGCAGCTGGGTGAGAGAGTTTCCCTGTTGGATTCAACAAAGAACTCCAGAAGCTTCTATTTATCTATAAATAATTGTGTGAGCTAAAGTCTCTCACACGTAATCCTTGAAGCTGATCTCTTTACTCTGTACTTGAACATTTTCTCAGCTCGGTTGAAGGTACTTACCTAATAGTAATAAGGTGCAGGGGAGCCTGGGTGGCTCAGTCGGTTAAATGTCCGACTTCAGCTCAGGTCATGATCTCACGGTTCATGAGTTCGAGCCCCACGTTGGGCTCCTCGCTGACAGTGTGGAGCCTGCTTGGGATTCTTTCTCTCTGTTGCTGTCTCTGTCTGTCTCTGTCTCTGTCTCTCTCTCTCTCTCTCTCTCTCTCTCAAAATAAATAAATAAACTTAAAAAAAGTAATAAGGTGCAGTTTCATATATTCTGTATATAATGTTGCTCTTCCTCTCCACTGATGTGCCTCAGTGAGGTTTTACTGACTTTGTGGTTCTCCTGTGCAGTGGAGAATCACACAGCTGCCCCTAGGAATCAATAGAAAAGTAGGTTCCAGGTTGGCACCCTCTAGATTTGGTTCTTTCAGAGCCTTGATCTTGATTCCCTAAAGCCTCAAAGAAGCTTTGGACAGTTGTGCTAACATGGGGAGGAGTTGGGAACCCTCCATTTCGATGTGACTAACGGAAAGTTCCTCTAGCAATGTGAATTTTTCCTAAAGGCTCTGAGCTGTCTTCATTGTCCCACATGCACGCCCTCCCCCCACCATAGCCACTTCACAGAAATGTAAAACATGACCTGCATCATTCCCTAGAAGAGTAGCCTCATCCTTCTCGAGGCCTTTATCGGAATGATCGCGTGTGTTTTTGTGTTTGTGTTTGTGTTTTAATTCAACAATCCAAGCATCGGTGCCCAACCAGAGCTAGTTTCCCCTCTGGCTTCCCTACAGGATCAGATTTCAAGGCAGCGTTTCATATTGGTCTTCCTTAACGGTTTGCCTGAGTGACTGCTGTCCTCTGTAACTTCCAGCCCTTTTATTTGGGGAGCTATTCAATTCATGTAAAAGCCTGCAGCTAACATTATTTAAGATATTGCACTAATTAGCTTGTCCTCTTGTAGACTTTCATGCTCTGTTGCTTTTCTTTATGTTGCTTGGCCTCTACTTATCTATTTGCATCATGCCCTGAATATTAAGTTTAGAGCATGGAGATGATGCTCATTTTATAGGGCTATGTATTTGACATAGAGACAATTAAAAGAATCTTTCACTCTCTACTGGTAAACACAGAGTGAGTTTTAGCCCAGCATTCTGTGGTCTTTTGGGGAAGTCCAAAATTGCTTACAAAGCTGGGATGATTAGGTTTGAACCCTGTGGGGTTTTTTGAACATAATGTAATAGGATTATCAGACTGCCTCCCCAGAAAAGACTGCACCTGTTCAAAATGATTGCTTAGAAAAGTCTAGTCACCTTTGTAGAACAATGCAAGTAAACACAGTTATGTAATGGTCTGTGGCCAGCTTTGAAATGCCCTGATTTGATCTGTAGAAATGAATTATAAAAGCGGGCAGGACAAGGTGCTGCGTGAGTAAAATCTGACTTGTGCAGTTTCGAAGGGTAGCTGAAAATAATCAGACGCAGTGGTTGATGGAGAAAGACGGTCTGCGTGGTTAAAGACTATTGGCTTACTAATGATCCAATGGTAAACAGAAATGTCCCTAAGGCAGGGATACCGAAGCGAGAGTAATGATTACCCATTTGCAACAATGGTTGGAAGATTTTATATCTGGTTCTTCTGTTTTCTGCCGGTAGCTATATCCTAGTCATCTCTTGTTGAAGGTAGGAAGAACAATGAGTGCAACTTCTCATCATGTTGAAATGTCTGATGATGACAAGACGTGTAGAATGTTGGGGTTGGCAATGGGTATGCTGTGTTAATCTTCATAGTCTCGCCCTCAAAATTGGTGCTTTGAGATTTAAAGGGGAATGTTTCATTCCTCCGTCTTTTGAAAATCTTGAATTTGTCAAGGAAATTTTTCCAGTAAAAGGAGAGCTTTTACTGGAAGACATCCAATAAGAACAAACTGAGGGCTGATGGGGGGTGGGGGGAGGGGAGGGTGGGTGATGGGCATTGAGGAGGGCACCTGTTGGGATGGGCACTGGGTGTTGAACGGAGACCAACTGGACAAAATTATATATTTTAAAAAAAGGAAAACATCCTCACTAAAACTGTAGAGCATTTTTAGAAGCTCATGTTCAATTTGTGTAGATGCTTTTGATCAAGAGGTAAGGGATGCACGCGAAATTTTAAGACCAAAATCAGCCTCGAATTCTTGATTCAGTTTGAGAAATGTGAAGGCTCAGTAATCCCATGAAATAGAAGCATTCCTGAGTAAAAATCGTTTAATCTATCCTATTCTTCTAGAAAGGCTTTCAAAAAAAAAATGAAGGTCAGAAACAAAAAGATTAAATGAGCAGATTAGAGTAAAAGTAACACTTCATCGTCACTCATCAGTCATGAATCCACGCAGTGGAGTCATTCATCAGTCCTGAGATGCATATGCCTCTCATACCTTAACCTCTCTGTTCTCAGAATGGGCCTAACAGCCGACAGAATGCCATGATTTAATTAAACTAGACCTTTTTTTGTAGCGATACAAAACATTATGCTTTGTCTTGCAATCAGCGGTGCCTTAGGTTAAGGGAAAATAACTAATTTTTAAAAGCTCTCCACCGTTCATGCCAAAATGGAAACTGGCAAGTTGCCTTGTGAATCCACCAGCCATTTTTGGTGAGGACTTTCCTTGTGATTCCAGTGAGAGCAGCTTGGTTTTGGTGTTTGATTCTGAAGTATTTTGCAAGTATTTAATGCAGAAACATGGCAAACGTGTAGCTCGTGTCCTTTGAGAAATCAAGGAAACCATGTGCACAGAGTCGGTGATGAGAAAGGGTCGCTTTCGTGCTTCGAGCTGTCCATTGTTTTGTTTGTATTTGAACTGTGAGCACTGATGTTGATTTGTTTGAACACAGGCTTCTCACCCACACTCTTGCTGACGTAGTACGGAAGACTGCATCATATTAGCACCATATTTTAAAACTGGAAGCCAAATTCTAATCCACAGTGACCATGGTACATTGCCTAGGGCAGAATTCACTTTGGCTGCTTTTGGGTTTTGTTTTTGCTGGAGTTGGAGTGATTATCTCTCGTATTTGTGCACGATCTCCCTAAAAGGTTTATTAGGAAGTACAAAGATATGTCGTGTGCCATGCTCGGCATGGAGCTAAGCCCTCAACTAGGGGGTGATTTTGTCCTTTGGGACATTAGGCAATTTCTAGAGACAACGTTGGTTGTCACAACTTGGTGGAGGGCGGGGAATACACCTGGCATCTAATGGTTAGAGTCCACAGATGCTGTCACACTTCCTACAGTGGATGAAACAGCTCCCAGCAAGAAAGAATTATTAGGTTGAAAAACCCTAGTACAGAGCCAGGAACATAGTAAGTGCTTGGTAAAAGGTGGCTATTATCATTGGGACTGTTCTTATGTATTAAAGTTGGTTCCGAGAGTTCTTTTTCAAGCTAGTCCCTCCTCTAAATAACATCACCACCATAATTTCAGCAGTAATTCTGGAAGAAAGTATGTAAACACTTTCCAGTTTTCAAGTATATAGGATTCCCCACACACCAGAGGGTGCACAGAGATTCTTTTGATCCGTGGAAATAAGTGTCAAGGCCCCCGGTCAAGTTGGTGAGGCCTGCACACCAGCTAGCAATGCCCAGTACCGAGAGCAGACAGATGAAACATAGCTCCCGGCTCAGTAGTTCGGAACGAAAAACACCTCCTTTCAGACCTGCGCATCCTGTGCCGGAATGATGGCAGAGGGAGCACATTAGCAGAGACTGCCCGACCTTTTTCTTTTACAAACTAACGAAAGCCTGTTCCAAATGGAACCAGAAGCATTAAGCACACACATGTGCACACAGCACAGCCCTCACCACCTCCAGGGTCACGCAGAGGTCTTTCGGTTGCTGCTTTATTCACGAGGTTTCCATACACATCGCTCAGAACTCTCCGAGCAAGCCTGACTGGCTGTGTATGCAACTCATTGCCTCCCTCGAGACACAGTGCGGGCAGAAAAGTGCAACCCAGAGAGTTCACTCGGATGCAGCCTATTACATTCAGAATACAGATGACCCTAGATGCAGGATTCGGAAAGGCAGAGCTCATCCCGCACATGCCTTTAAGTCGTGTCAAAACTTTTATTTTTTATTTCACACCTGGCTTTGACATTAGAAACATCAGAAGCCACGACGACATGTTATATAATTGAACTTTCCTGTGTCTTTGCCTTTTGAAAAAGTATGCAACGCTGGAGGAAGTGATTTTTTTTAGTTTTGGATACTTATGGCTCTTAATACCTTACCTTCGTTGAACCATAAGTAATTTACTCAATAACAATAGCATCAAAAAGAGGTTTCATTTATTTAGAGCTTGAATAGGAGACACTCCGAAAGTCTTTCATGGTTTTTTTTTTTTTCCTTTTTCTTTAGGTTATTAAAACGTTAGGAGACTTTGAATATATATCAGCCCTATGCCATGTTCAAATTTGTTTACCTAATGGTTCTTAGTCTTTCTCTGTATTTCCATTTCGATACACTGTTCTGGAAACGTACTCTTTTATATTTAAGACCCCAAATTCAAATGGCGGCAGGGTTTGTAGTCGTCATTGTTTGTTGTCAATGATGACGCCGTTGGAACATTTCTGTCATTCATGGGATGACACTCCCAAGTTACAGTTCCTTCATTTCCAGGGTAATCAATGGGAAACATACGTGTAGCTCCCGTGAGCCTTAAAGGGTCATTCTCTGTAGACAAGACCATTACTTGTCTTCAGGGGCCCTCCTATTCCACCCAGGACACAATGACTTTAAAAGTCTGGTTCCTTCTGGGTCACAGACTCATTCAATCCAATTAATACAATTAAACCCAAACAATAGCAGCTGTGTTGCCTCAAAATATTTCCTTCTCTTTAGCTAGCTTTGATGTGAACATTTGAGCCCCTCCCTGGCATAGACTCATCTGAAGTGATATGATTTCCCGAGCTGCCCTCTGAAGAGCACCAACTATTTTCTTAAAATATGAAATGATTGGGCACGAATACCTTTCTAATTGAAAGGATCATGATTCTATTCTTTAAGACTTCCTCTTAGAAATACGGCTTTAATGTATGCTAAACTTGTTTTCTCAATGCCAGACAAATTAGCGGAGGCTGAGCTATCGCAAAAACTCAGGAACGATTTTAAATAAATGCAGTAATATGCTGTTCTTTCCAAGCAAATGTTGCCTTTGGTTTTTAACTGTCAAAACCTTAATAAAGACAATAATTCTTGGCCTGCCCATAAGTGAGATTATGAAACCCAGCAATGAGGAAACCATTAAAAAGTTAATTTAAAGGAAAGTTAATTGCAGATTTAATATGGCGTTTTGCAACTTGGTCAACAAAATGCTTCAGCCTGATTCACAGTATTTTTCAGGGGCTGGAAACATGACGCCCGCCTGAAGAAATGGTTTTTCCTTGTCGTTTTTATTCTTCGTGTATTCATTTGAGGTTGTAAATAGACACTAACACTTTAGTGAATTCAGTAGTTTAAAAAAAATTCTTCTTTCCTCTATCTCCAGGAATAAGAGCAAGGAAAGAAAAAGACTGGAGAAAATAATTCTGCTTATAAGGCCCTAAAAGCTTCAGTAATTTACTCTCGTTGGGTTATGCTTTTAATCTGCCAAGAAATTCTTCTTCTACAGCACTTATCTCCAATTTTCAAGAAACTGTAATCCTCCGGGATAGTAATCATTGGGGATTTTCATTTCACATGGCAGCACTATTTATTTCTCGATCGTATCGTTTCATAACGATCTCTCCCAACCTCTCCCATCTCCAAGACTTTTGGTATCTTTAGAGATTCCCCAAGAAAGGTAGAGAGAGATACTTGGCTCGCTCACCGGCATCGACAGGCAGTGAGTTTGCAGATTTAAGTACATTATCTTGGGTCCCCTTCGTTGGAAATTAGAAAGCTTTGTAATCGCAGGGAAAGTCATTGGATTAGGAGCGCATTCCCCATGACTGTGACCCTCGCCACTCCTGCCACACACACACACACACACACACACACACACACACACCCTCCCCACCAAATGACCCAAAGCTCCCACTTACACAGTCTTTCTTCTTAGTGCTCTGTGTCCTGCGGCCAAGGCACACGGCGGAGAAGTGTGAGCTGTCAGACGGGAACACACAAAACAGCCAGAGAGACTGAGTGCAACCCCTACACCAGACCGGAGTCGGAACGCGCCTGCCAAGCCGCACCGTGTCCTCTCTATGCCTGGAGGGCAGAGGAATGGCAAGAAGTAAGTAGAGCCATGAAGTGGGCACCTGCCAGGCATTTCGCTCAACCCCCTTGCAACCATCACATCCGTTACCCTGAAAAGCCTTCAAGCACGGTGACAAGGCTGGCTGTTTCCCAAAAGGTTTGCTGTCAGACGGCAAGCGGTTCACTCCGACGAGGGTGGGAGAGCTCCTCCTTTTTATGCAGTTCCTACGTCTGTGTTCTTGAATGTTCCAAGTCTGGCTGCCTCCAGAAAAGCTGTAACAGGCCTTGGGCCAAATGCAAACAGCCATCTTTCACAAAAGGAGGGGGAGATGGAAGAGATATTTTAAATATGTGTACCCAAACTTGGTCATTGTGTGTCAGCTCAGACAGCCACAGGGCAGACTCCAGGTAGGACCTACTCTGTGTTTGTCTCCTTTCCGTGACTTGGGCTGTCAAGGAGAAGACAGGCGGTCGCTTGAAGCCCCAGTTAATTAGTGAAGCATTTCCAACATTAAAAAAAAAAAAAATGATGGAATCTGAAAAACGGCTCAGTTGATGCAGAAATAGACTTGTTTTCTCCCTCACCAAGTTAATGTTTAGTTAAAGAAAACACTATGCGTCCCTGGAGAAGAGCCTGGCTAAGCAAGGTAACACTTGGGCAGGAGATAATCTCCTGTTTCCAGAACAGAATACTTTGTAGAAAGGGGAGAAAGAAGGTAAGAAAGCAAAACTGTGTCCATTGACTTTGGAACGAAATAAAAAGCACATGCTGTAAAGGGTTCAGAGATATGAATGATAAGATAGGAATTTCCCACCAGGAGTGATTTTTAGAACAGGGAGAAACAGCGCCTGGTGTGTGCTACGTGCTTTATATTCTTCCCCTCGCTTAATCTTTTTAAGCACTGGGCACAGTGGGCATCACTATTATCATCCCATTTTGCAGTCAAGAAAACTGAGGCTCAGAGAGCCAACGTCATTTGTCCAAGCGTCACGTGCCCAGAAGGAGCAAGACCTGATTCTAAACTGAAACCATTACCTGATACTACAGCTGCATTTAAAAGTCATTTTACCCAAGCACTCATGGCAATGCTGATGTACAGTTTTTCCAGTTGTATTGAGCTATCATTGGCATATAACATTGTATTTGTTTTAGGCGAAGACATGATGATTTGACCTATGTATGTATTATAAGTTGTTATTAACAGTAACTGTGTTATACTAAACATCCGTCAGCTCACACGGTTCCAAAATGTTTTCTGGTGTTGAGAACTTTCAAGATCTATTCTCTTAGCTTTCAAGTATATGATACAGTATTGTTAACTTCAGTCACCATGCTGTGTATTATATCCCCAGGACTTACTTATTTTCTAGCCGGAAGTTTATCCCCGCTCACCTACACCTTTCCCATCACCTCTGGCACCATCCATCTGTTCTCTGTATCTAGAAGTTTGGTTTTTGTAAGATTCCATACACAACTGAGGTCGTACGATATGTCTCTTTCCCTTTCTGACTTGTAGCACTCAGCATAATGCTCTCAAGGTCCATCCCATATTGTCAGATGGCAGGATTTCCTTCCTTTTTATGGCTATTATGTTCCTTTGTATGTATACACATTTTTTTTATTCATTCACCCATCGATGGACACCTCAGTTGCTTCCATGCCTTGGCTGTTGTAAATAATGCTGCTGGGGGGAGCAGATAGGTTTTCAAGTTAGCGGTTTTATTTCCTTCAGATGAATACCCAGAAGTGGAATTGCAGGATCATAGGGTAGTTCTCCTTTTACTTTTTTGAGGAACCTCCATACTGTTTTCCATAGAGTCTGCACTGATCTACTTTCCCACCAACAACGCCCAGGGGTTCCCTCTCCTCCAGATCCTCACCAACACCTGCTATGTTTTGTCTTTTTGCTAATAGCCATTGTGAGGCGATACCTCCTTGTGGTTTTGATTTGCATTTCCCCAATGATTAGCGATGTTGAGCACCTTTTCATCTGTCTGTTGGCCATCTGCACGTTTTCTTTTGAGAAACGTCTGTTCGGGTCCTTTGCCCATTTTCAGTCTGATGCAGTCCCACCTGTTTATTTTTGCTTTTGACGTCTTTGCTTTTGGTGTCATGTTCAAAACAAGTATGGCCATGACCAGTGTCAGGGATCTTACCCCCTATGTTTTCTTCCAGGAATTTTATGTGTTTAGGTCTTTCAGGGTCAAGTCTTTAATCCATTTTACCCTAACTTTTGGGTCTGCTGTAAGATAGGAGTTCAGTTTCATTGTTTTGCACGTGTCTGTCCAGTTTCCCCAAAACCATTTGTTGAAGAGACGGTCTTTTCTCCATTGCGTACTCTTGGCTCCTTTGTCATAAATTAATTGACCGTATATGTGTGACTTTACTTCTGGGCCCTCTGTTCTGTTTCATTGATCTGTGTGTTTCTTTTTTTTTTTTTTTTTTTTTTTTTCTTCAACGTTTATTTATTTTTGGGACAGAGAGAGACAGAGCATGAATGGGGGAGGGGCAGAGAGAGAGGGAGACACAGAATCGGAAACAGGCTCCAGGCTCTGAGCCATCAGCCCAGCGCCCGACGCGGGGCTCGAACTCACAGACCGCGAGATCGTGACCTGGCTGAAGTCGGACGCTTAACCGACTGCGCCACCCAGGCGCCCCTGTGTGTTTCTTTTAATGCCAGCACCATGTTGCTTTAATTATTGTAGTTTTGTAATATAGTTTGAAGTCAAAGAGGGTGATGCTTGAGCTGTGTTCTCCTTTCTCAAGATGGCTTTAGTTTTTCAGGGTCTTTTGTGGGTCCATACACAGTTTAGCCTTGTTTCTTCCACCTTTTGGAATTTTGATAAGGATTGCCTTACAATCTCTAGATTGCTTTGCATAGTGTGGACATGTTCAGAGTACTAATACTTAGAGCTGGTGAGCACAGAAGATCTTTTCATTTATTTGTGTCATTTTTGATTTCTTTTATCAGTGTCTTATAGCTTTCAATGTACAGGTCTTACACCTCCATGGTTTAATTTCTCCCTGAGTGGTGGTGTTTTGTTTTTGTTTTTTTTTTTTTTTTTCCTTTTTGATGCAGTCTTGAATGGGACTGTTTTCTTACAGCTGCATGTTTAACCCATGTGGAGATCAGCCTTCCTCCCGGTCTTTCCCTCTCCCTCACCCTCCTGATGGACTTTTCTTTAGGACTCTCATTCTCTCTGTCTACTCAGGTTTTTTTGCTTGTTTTCCTTCCGTATTTTTTTTTTCTTTCACCAGAGGATGGTGGGGAGGAATGGCTAAAGCAGTTGAATTTCAAGTTAATTGCACTGGAGCCACACAGGTTATTGGGATCCCCAGAGACTACAGAATTCTGCAGTCCAGTTCATATCTCAACACTACTAGTGTTCAGCCATGTGACTTCGAACAAGGATGCTTGATTTCTCTGATTCTTGGGTTTGCCACCTGTAGAATGGGGATAATAACAACTACACAGAGTTGTTGTGAGAAAATGGGAGATAATAGAGTGGTTTGGGGGTTGACGCTCTCAGATATGGAAGGAAGAAAGGGCTTCCTGACCTCTCGCCCCCTCAGTGTTACCTCTTGATTCTCTTTTGGTCTTGTTTCAGACCTACCCCTGCCTGCTTTCTCCTTCTCCCTCTTCATCTCGCGCCAGACTCGACCCTGTGTAACTGTTCCAAGGAACAGAAAGTAAGAGAGTGTGCTGAAATGAATCTAAGCTGACTGCTCACGCTTTAGCCAACTTTCACAAATGCTCCAGCCAATCAGGGAAATGCAAGCTCCATTTACAATTCCTTCTGAATTCCAAAGAACAGAAACCTCGCCAAATATGCACTGAGGAAGTCCTGCCTCTGATCGTACAAAATATGCTTAGAAATGTACATCTTTGCCTGCGCTCTGCAGACAGATCCTTTAACATCCTGCTTTAAATATTGCTGTCAAGCTCCACGTAAGAACAGAACACCTAAGGAGCTAGCCAGACCTGTGGCCGTATTTAAAAGTTAGAGATTAACCATTCTCACAAAGAGAACAGAATCTTTAAGCAGTGGGAAAAGCAGATTCTTACACTTACCCACCTGCAACCGTGCTTTCTCACCTGTCTGAACCCAAAGCGGAAAGTTTGAGAAAGGTGGACCTGGGTGGTAAGAGAGGATAGAGGCCTAGGGGGGTGCCCTCACGTGACACTGAATTGGCAGAGCGAGGCTTGGGGCAGCTGGAGGAGAGAGAAGACCCGTCCAAAGCCTTTGTTCCTCCTACGCACAGCATGCTGGTGGCCCTCTTAGAATGTCCTCACGGCCACAACACTTAGAGTGAGTGTTCATAGCAACTGGGCAACCACCTTAATAGGCCAGGTCTCCCTTCCTGATTGCGTGCCCGCAGTCCTTGTGCGTGCCTAGGAAAGTTCTGCTGTAATCATTCATTGTCCCTAGTTTCATGATCAAAGTTATCCTTGTTAAACAGCAGATCGGACAGCACAGCACCCTTCAGACTCCCCTCAGTCACGGCCCTCACCCCTCTCTCATGCCTACTTCCCCTCCCACCCACTCCCTCTTCCACCATCTTCTCTCAGACCTGCTTTGACTTGGTTCCCATCCACGAGTGACACCTCGACCTGATGTCAGTGAGGATGCCAAGGTCCAGCCTCACGGCCGAGGCCCTTGGCACCCACCTCAGAGCCGTCCTTGGCACCCACCTCGGAGCTCTTGTTTGCCTGCTGAGTGTGCATTTTTCCCTTTTGCCTCCCCCTTGTGGATTGTCAAAGCCCACTTGTTTGGGGGCAAGATGTGTGTCATGCTAGGCACATAGGGAACGGCAGCCCCCTTGTTGTGACAAATAATCCAGGTGTCCACCTTGAGGAGCACAGGTTCTGCATAACCACAACAGCAGGATCATCGGGTATGCTTTTCTCAGTCATACAGGTTGCACACTGCACAACTCTGGGAGTACCATTCCCATAGGTTACAATACGAGGGGCATCCCCCAGACTTACACAGTTCAGTGGCCGATACTGATGATAAAAATAATACATCTTTTTGTTTATTAAGCTAGGGACCAAGCACTATATTGAGTGTTTTTTATGGAAGACCTCACTTAACCTTTCCATAACTCTCTAACGAAGTAATTAAGTTTTTATCCTCATTTAAAGATGAGGAAACTTGAGGCTCAGATAGATTAATTCATCCAAGTTCATGCATTCAGTAAGTAATAAGGCTGGGATTTGA